GGATGACATATGAAAATAAAAAAAAGTAAATGCGAGAGAAAAAAAAACATTTCTGCTTCAGAGTCGGATTCTAAGTAGTAGGAAAACATGAAATAGCACGCGGTCTTTTATACCTAATATACGACAAATTGTACTGACCTCAAACTCATTCACAATTCGGTTTGTCTGTGGAACTCTACCCCCGCGGTTGACAGCAAACCAAACCCCGATGGCTAAACATTTGACGGGCGATCACTCATTCCGTCCAAGTTTTTTTTACCATCAACTTTTCGTGCAAGAAAGAAGGTTTCATATTGGACGGCGACAGATTTTGGCTATGCTTTTATCTAACGGACGGAAAAAGAGGGTAATGTGTTTTTATTTTGTGTGTTTTTATTTATTTTGCAATAAATCTTAATTATGTTAGTTTGTACATTTCACTAAAAAGTGATGTGATGACAATTTAGACACAGAATTTAATGTTACGGCTTTCGGTTCTTATTCCATGACATACAGAATTTTATGTGAAATTTGCTTAAAAATGAGACAAATTATTAAAGAAAAAATATAATGTACTTTACAGTTTTCTATACCAAATGAAAATATGGTACAAAAGGCAGACTTAATGCTAGTAGCATTCTTTACCAGTCAACCTTTGAGATAAGCAGTGAATTTTTATGTTACTTTTAAACGTAACATAAAAAATTGTTATAACATAAATATAAAGGAATATATATATATATATATATATATATATATATATATATATATATATATATATATATATATATATATAATTGAATAATGTAGTAAATAATAATGTAAAATACATAATGGTCAAATAGTAAATGCAAACGTATGCTAAAAATAAAAAACGTTATACATTTTAAAAGTCTTGAGTTTATAAGATTTGTATGTATGTATGTATTTTTGTATGTTTGTGAAAATAAAATATTGATTGATTATCTATAACGAGCATTAAGGTTTGTCTGTCAGTAACGGTCTCGTCACTAAAGGTCATATTTTTATTATCGTTTATTGCTTACTTTACAACACAATACAAACGCCACAAATTGAAACTTTTAAAAAGCCGGTTAAGAAGTACATCAGCGTGGAAACAAGAAGTGCTCGAAGACAACGCACAAGTTTCTTTGGTAAAAACTTGAGGTCGAAAGTTCGACATGCAGTGAGTTACCGCCCGCCTGAAACATGGGTATAAATACTCGTATTTATTCCCGTATTTTTCCTGGATATTTCTTATTTATAGTCGGTATATTTTGCTGATATTTTACACTAGCAATCCGACCCGAGTTCGCACAGTAAATTATTTTAATGCAAATGTAAACTGGACTTCTATTTCCGTACTAAGCACCTCATTTTTTTATGGGTGAAAATGGCATGGTAACCTTGCGCTATTGGTATACACTGGCGGGGTACCAGTGAGAGGTGATAGGTGAGGATAAAAAGGCAGGTTAATTAGCCCATTATGACGAAATGAATGATAAATTAGTCACGGTAGTTTCCAGGGGGATCCGCGCGGATGTCAACCTGATAGGGTATTTTGATAGCAATGGGGACAAACTTCCCCATTACTAACAATCCCTTCACCTCAAGCAACTCATTTAGGCCATTATACGTGTACTATCAACCGACTTCAAAAAGAAGGAGTTGACCAATTCAGTTGTATTTTTTTAATGTTTGTTACCTCATAACCTCGTCAGTTCTAAATAGAACTGGAATATTCTTTTCTTATCTAAAAGGATATACTTACAGATTGTTCTCACAGAAGTTTTATCAAAATCAGCTCAGTCGTTTAATTTCTAGATCAAAATAACTGGTATTGTCATTTACCTCCAGGAGATATTTTTTGGGGGACACAATTTTTTATTATTTTAAACTACAATTGTTCGGAGTCAATAATTTTATTGAAACAACTAGCTTTGACTGTTTATATACGTACAGAAGGTATTTACAATGGAAAAGGTACGTGTCTATAGGCGATGGTTACCACTTTCCATCAGGTGGGCCGTCAGCTTGTTTGCCGTTCTAAGTTGTATGAAAAAAACGGTACAGACAATACGTAGAAAAAATATGAACTAAATAATAAGAAGGGTAAAAGGCGAGCGATCAAGACAGGGAGCATGGCAGCGAAAATGTATGTAAGCAAAAACGTCGCTGTCATGTCTGTGCGGTACAGTACGAAAGAAAGAAATGAAATAAATACACAATTTAATAAACCTACTTGATAGAAAAGGTAGTAAATATGTTTACAAGTAGCTGTGAGATATATTCATGTACATATAATATTTATTTATACAAGATTTAACAAATTTATAAACGACAAAATTAGATTTGTTTGATGGCATGATCACATAACTGGCCGTGTGGTCCCGGCATAGAATAGACCAGCCCTTCCTATTCCGTGGGTGTCGTAAGAACCGATTAAGGGATGGCGACGGATGGGTAGCAGCGTTTTTCTTAAAACATCTCTAAAAGCCCGACTGCGGTTGCCATTTCGCCTGCCAAGTGTGGCAACTACTGGTAAAACCCCCCAAGGGAGTGGCTTATGTTCAACAGTGCACATTTAAAGGCTGAGATGATGATGATGATGATTACATAAAATTAAATATATTTACTTATACAAAATTTTGTGATGAATTGCACATACAAAGACAAGACAAGAGAAGGATATTTATTCTATAAAAGTCGTCTGCATGGCTTCATACATAGTTCCATTCCAATCATCTGGATGAGTGACCGTCCTCCACCGTGCGTTTTTCAAGGCACTTTCTTCCATGCACAACCGCTCTTTAGAATCAACTTCCAGCAGGAGTATTTCCTAACCGATACGACATCATAACTTTCAAGAAAAGAGCATATTCCTTTTTAAAATACCAGCAGCACACCTGCAATGCCGTTGGTGTTGAGGGTGATCACAGGCAGCGGTAGTCACTTATCATCAGGTGAGCCGCATGCTCGTTATGCCCCTGTGTTATAAAAACAAAAACGTTTGTCCCACTTCTGCTTTGCTATTATATGCGTATACAGCTTGCATTGTTTCGATTTAAAGGGCGAGATATGGCAGTGAAATTACCGGGTACGAAGGTATAACATCCTGGTCCTCTGAAATAGCAACGCATGTAAGGTATCATGGGCGAAACAGTATACTCTGTTATGTCCATAGTACTGCTCATGTCTATAGGCGACGGTTACCATATTCCATCAGGTGGGCCGTCAGTTTGTTTGCCATTCTGGATTGCATAAAGAATTCTTTCAATTTTAGACACTAGGTTAAGGTTTATTTTTTTATACTTGTTTTTAATTTTATTATACATGAATAATGGATTTTTTATACAACTTAGAATGGCAAACAAGCTGACGGCCCACCTGATGGCAAGCGGTAACCGTCGCCTATAGACATGAGCAGTACCATGGACATAACAGATAATACTGTTTCGTCCATGATACCTACCACCCATGCATTGCTATTCCTAAGGACTCAGGTGTTATTCCTCTGTACCCTGTTAATTCACGCCATATCCCACCCTTCAAACTGAAACACAGCCATGCAAACACAACTGTTTCACGGTTGAAACACGAATGGGACACAGGTACCTAAGCAAACGACTTTTATACAAAGTCTCCCTCTGGTATTCTCTCTGGTATTAACCCTCCCTCTGGTATTATCTTATTGAGATCAGAATAAATAATAAAAGAAGTCTAATATACGCCGATAATCTTCCCCAACCAAGGCTATATCCATAAAGTAAAATAACGCCCCACATTTAGAAATAGGTAGCACATTTCTCAAAGGAAATGAACTGCCGATACAACTGAGGCGCCTCGGCCCACATTTTATTTACTTTGCCTTCCACAATTCATTTCTTTTTCAACTTAATTTAAATTCTTAGACGGTTGAAAGTTGACGATGTGTCGCTTCGGGCTGGCCCACTTTTAGCAGGACTCGACTGAAAGTGCTGCGGATGCAGAGATTTTTATTTTATATATGTTTCGATCATATAATGTTAATTTTTACAAGATTATATCCACTTACCAGGTTAAAAAGTATTTGTCCGACGTCGTTTCACATTTTACGTGTATACCGAATTTCTATTACAATATATATCTTATATATAAAATTCTCGTGTCACGGTGTGTGTTACCAAACTCCTCCGAAACGGCTTTACCGATGTTTATGAAATTTTGTGTGCATATCGGGTAGGTCTGAGACTCGACCAACATCTATTTTTCATACCCCTCAATGATAAGGGTGACCCTCCACAATTTTTTTTTAATTTTTTAATAAATTTTTCCATTTTTATTTTATTATGATTTAGCATTGAAAAATACACACAACTTTAAATTTTCATAGTTTTACGATCAACCCCTGTCTTTTATTCGCGATTTTTATATTTCACAAGTGGTAAAACAACGTTTACGGGATCAGCTAGTTATAATATAATAATAAATAAACAAACTTTTATATTTATAATATTAGTAACAATTATTTAAAATATTTGTTAATAAAATTACTAATTGTACTTTAAACTTTTTATTGAATAATTGAAAAAAATTTTCATTTAAAATACCAAATTTTAATTATACAATTAAATACTTAACTATGTATTTTTTAAATCTTGTTATGACCTTTGACACGTCGAAATTGATAATTAAAAATAAATAAACTTAGATTATAACAAGAATCAATATTGAGTATATATATAATGAGTAGGGATATATATTTACATTATTACATGTATCTAGAGATGGGCAATCCACCTGGGTGGGTTTAAAGTCTGGTGGGTAAAAACCGGGTGTTTTGGGTTTATTGGGTTTAAACCCCATAAACACCCAAATTTTTGGGTGTTTATGATTTTGTACTTCATCATCGTCATCTCAGCCGCAAGACGTCCACTATACTGGACATAGACAATATTATTATGCAGCCTACAGAATAAAAAACTTTTAATTTGATTTTGAGTTTATTAAGAAAGAGATGAAAGTAAAATGTAAAACTATAGTCAATCACTGTCAGATTCAGAGTTATTACAAGCGATGAATTGTATAGGTTCGATAGGCTCTATTTCGTCTAAACTGTTATGTTCATTTACTTGCTCAATGAAAGCTTCTAAGGTATTTTCTTCATTAAACTGAATGTCCTCGCATTCAGCTTTATGTTTAAGATTCCAGTTATAACAAATGAATGAAATTTTTTCAGTTCTTTCAGTTGTAAGTCGATTTCTTTTGTTATTATGTATGTAGCCTTGGATACTAAAGGAACGCTCAGTGGCTGCCGAAGTACAGGGAGCTGATAGAATACGAATCGCTACTTTGCTTAACTCAGTGGAACCACAAATACCTTTCCACCATATTAGGGGCTCAATGCTATCTAATGAGCTCCATACAAATCCTCTGGCCCAAAAGTTTTCTTTAGCTTTATAACACGCCAAATCTGCCATTACATTTGACAAACTTAAGTGTTGGCTTAAATTGTAGATAAACTCCATACCCTTAAGTTCTTCCTCTTGAGTAAGTTCGACTCCTAGAGTCCTGGGGTCTAGAATATATGCTGCAAAATGTATTGGCCTCATTGCCATATTGCATCTTGAAGATACTGATGTTAGAATCTGCTGTTTGCTTTCTTCGCTCAATGTCGAAATCTCATTTAATGCAAAACGTATCTTAGCTTGTACATCTCTAAATGTAATGTATGTGCGATGCAAACGATTCTGGTCGCTCTCTAAGTAAAATATGCTTTCAGTGACTGGTTCCAAAATACTTATACATTCCCCTGTCTTCGTCCAGAAATCATCACTTAGAATTAAATCTTTAATATCTCTTGAAATTACCACATCTTCTCTAACTGTTAATATTTGCAAAGCTATCTTATTTGCTTTTAAACTTTTTAACGAAGTAACATGACTTCCCCATCTTGTAGCACAAGGCAATTTTAGTGTTTGTGTAGAATCTTCACCCTGCCTTGATTTTATCAACAAGGAACTTAATCGTTGACTCCTTTTAACAGTTTTTATTATATTTATGGCTTGCATAATAAACACAGTTACTTCTTGTATCTTTACAATATCTTGGCACAACAAGTTAAGGATATGTGCACAGCAACCGAGAGGAACAACATGTGGATATTTGAGTTTTGTTAATTCGAATGCCTTTTGTATATTTCTAGCGTTATCGCCAATAAGTACAAGAAACTTATTTGCTCCATACACTTTCATTACTTTTTCAACTTCTTGGCTAAGGTATTCACTAGTGTGAGGATTACTTTCTGTATTCAAACTTTTAACGTATGCAGGTTGAGGTTTTGATATAAGAAAGTTTATTATTCCTTCATTTCTTAAATTAGACCAGCCATCGCACTGAAGGTGTAAGTAACTACAAGCATTTAGTTCCTCATTTAACTCAAAACGCATTTCTCTATATATTTTATCTAAGTATTTTGTCGCTAAAGCTTTACGTGAAGGTATTTTAAATTTTGGTTGCAATTTTTCGAAAAATTGTATCCATAAAGGATGTTGCACCATCGATAATGGCGTCCCTATTACAAATATAGCTCTCGCTAATTCTGTTTTTATATGATCATCGGTGTCTTGAAACTCAGCATTTATTGTAGTGTTAGCAGACGACGAGGGGCTTATAAAAGAATCATTTGTCTCTATCTCTGACAGTCCAGACATTTTGGTTTTGGACGAGCTATCTTTTATAAGTTTCATAGAGTCTTTTAATGTTTCTGGAGATTTTGGACAAGTGATAAGATGTTGAAGCATTTTGGCAGCATTACTGAATTTGTAGACCTTATTACAAAGCTTGCAAGAAACAGACTTGTTTGGTAAAGTACGGTAGTGCTCCCATATGCGTAAATCTTTAGGTCTCCCCATTGAACCTAAAAAAATGAACGATGATTAGTTGGTCTGACGAAAATTCAACAATAGAGTGCCTATTTTTTTACAATGATTATTTCTTGTTATTTACAATAAATTTATTAAAAAAATAATAAAATAAATACAAAAAACCTTTGTAAAATTACATCTCCTCGGAGGATTAAACGCAGACGCTAGTTTATTATCGTATTGTTCTGTATTTTTCTCAGCAACTTCTTTAATTCGATTAGGTACTTACGCATATTATGTTAAAAATAAATATCTAGTACACATCTTAGGCTATCCACCATTATTATCCAATGACGACTCTCAGCTAACTATGCACTATCATCCAAAATAAACGTGTATGGAAAATTTTATCCCAGTCGGTTGAGGATTGAGGATAATTGCATCAACATACGAACATACCTACATACTTTTATTTACATAACGCAAGCTAAATAAAAGCTTGTAATAATACATCTAATTTTAAGTTAAAATTGTTAAGTGATCATGATATAATTGTATCATTCAAAAATCCACTTACCTTTAATTATTTCTTGTTAAGTATAAATATTATTTCAAATCTGCTCCCTTAATATGCACTTTTTTACTGCTTTTCCTACCTAACACGTTACCAGGAAGTCACGTTACCAGAGTCAGAGTAATAGTGAACACGTTTGACAGTGATTGTCGTCGCCTCATATTCAGCGTCGACGAATAGGGGAATCCCCAGTCATAATGTATTGCATGCGTGGCGGTCTTACTTCAAATCCATAAACAAAGAGATAATTACAGAACTCGATACTAGATGGCGCTGTTTTTGTTTGAAGAAAGTTTGCGGGCTAAAATACATAGAATTTCATCAATGACTTCCACAAAGAACAACATTTCTGTTTTTTCTAAGTCCGTATCTCTTCCGTATATTTCATAAGATATAAGCTTGGGCTACATTGTTATGCAACGTGATTTTGTCGCTGTCTTGCTAGCAGGGTTGACAGATATACGATTTAAATCGTACTCATACTATTATTTGTCTATTTTTTAATGTACGATCGTAAAGATTATGATCGTAATTCGCACAAAAACATACGACTTTTTGGTTACCTGGCAACATTTTTATTATGAAACGAACATGCTCACATCATCAGTCACATGCAACAATTTATTGGGGATTTCCCCTTCACATCTGGCAGTCCTGCTTGCTAGAATATAGGTAAGTCAGCCACAGTTACTGACGATCGATATTTAAAGGGTATTGTTTTTGTGCTAAATATTTCATAAAAACGTTATTTAATACTTTGTGGATTATTAATTTAGTTGATAATCACTGGAAGTAAAATGGATGCTAATTTGAGAGATCAAGATCTTCGTATAAAACAGTTAATAAAAGAAAATCTACGTAAGTACTCTTTTTATACCTAGGTAGGTAAGGTATAATAAACACAAAAGGTACTTAGATCGCGTGTGTTCGAAGCATTTATTCTAATAAATTTAATTTAAAATTGTAGAAAGAAAAAAATGTCTGCCAAGCCGTAGCCGAAGCCGATCTCCAAATATATTTGGCGATAGTGAGACCCAGTGTCCAGATGATTTACCCAGCGTCGTCGCAACAAAGAAAAAAAACGAGGATAAAGTAAAAGAAAATTTACTGAAAGAAGAAACAAACTGTTCTAAATGCTTAATTTATGGAGAAGAGGATAAAAGAAATGAGTATTTCGGACTGTTAGTGGCTCAAGAATTTAAATATATACGGCCATGTGTGCGAACGAGGTGTTATGAAGAAATTTTAAAGTATCTACGGGAAGCAAAAGGCCAACATGTTGATCAACTGCAACATGAAAACACTGAAAATTAATTACTTTCATTTTATTATATATAGATTTTTAAAATTTCCTGAAATATTATTAGTTAACGTTTTATTTAATATTGTAGAATTGATCAATACAATTTATAAAAATAATTTATTGGTATTACTTACATATTTTCAAAAAAATACGTAAAAACCTATTTTTTTGGGTGATTATGGGAGTTTATGGGTGTTTATTGGGTTTTTACCAAAGCACCGGGTTTAAACCCGGTGCTTTGCCCATCTGTACATGTATCACATCCCCATGTTTAGAAATAATAGAATTTTCATCGTGTCTCCGATCAAACTGTTTGTAATTATTGGAAGGTTTTTTTTTATACAACCATGCGTTGCCATTCCTGAGGACTCAGGTGTTATTCATCTGTACCCAGTAAATTCACGCCATATCCCACCCTTCAAACCGAAACACAGCCATGCAAACACAACCGCTTCACGGTAGAAATACGAATGGGACAGAGGTACCTAAGCAATCGACTTTTGTACAAAGTCTCCCTCTGGTGGTGGTTAGTTTATTAAATAAAAAAAAAATGTAATTAAATATGCATAGGATTACAAATTTTTTATTTATAGCAGTTACATATCGAGAATTTCTTAATAATTTGTATTTAACAGTTTATTTTATTTGAGGAAGTGGATTATGTTTATTATACTTTATTTATACATAAATGTGTTTGTTTTGTCTCATATATTAATAGAGACACCGAATAATAATTACTATTACTGCTATTATAGGATTTCCTTAGTTTATGATACGTTATAACTACTTATCACCTGTATTATATCATACTTACGTATTTCATTTTATTGCGAACCGGTTTTTAAACTGCCGTTAAATAACCGGTTCGCAACTTCGCATAAATAAATTTGTTTACGGAGGATCTTTGGTGCCTTCTTAAAAATTATATGTTAATTATAAATATTATTGTTTCCTGTATACTAGCAATCCCTCCCCCCCCCCTCTAACAGAGGTCTATCCACAATAGGGGGGGGGGGGTATTGGAAGTTTTGCTAATAGTTGCCACGCTTGGCAGACGAGTCGGCAACAGCAGTTAGGCTTTAGTGATGTTTAAAGAGCTTTATGCTGTACAAATTATTATGTAATATAAAAACAAATAAAGCACTTTTAGAATCAAATATTATGTGGATTTTATTTATTTATTTATTTTTTATTGCACAATAAAATTTTGTACAAATGCCGAGCTTAATGCCATAGGGCATTCTCTACCAGCTAACCATTGGGTAAAAATTTTAAACGATACTTTTATTAATTCAAAATCATAATTGGTTTATCTTCAATTTTGTTTCGATATTATTTGTTCACGAAAAATCTCTATTTTTTACGGAACAATATTTATTTATTTATTCATTAAAAATAATTATAAAATTATGACAGCAAAAGCCAAATAAACGTTATAAATATATTAAACTATTAAAAAAAATACTTTTTTTAATAATTTAAGATATTTCTCCTTTTAAAAAGAACACTCGATAAATGTTAAATTAATACTCGACGTATATTAATGTTAAATCAATACTAACTATATGAGTACGCCTGTCTATTTGTTGTATGCAAAATTATTTCACCTCACAACTGCTAAAGCCGTAAAGGTTTCGCCTTTTTTATATATTCTCAGGGTTTTACTCTTATTTGAATGTTTATGTTCACTGCCTTTGTGCTTGGAGGTATACGCATAAAAAGATTAGAGATTCTTTATGATATTCCGCCATAGAGAATTACATTTGTAGTTTGAACGTATACATAGATATTGTAGCGACTATAGCTACATTTTACGTGTGGCAACTCTAGAGCACAACACTACTGCGATAGTAAAAAAATAACTTGTCATCCCATAGGCATCATATCGTCTATCCAGGTTATAATTTCTTTATATAATTTAGAATGACAAAAAAGCAGACGCCCCATCTGATGGAAAGTGGTAACCCTCGCCTATAGACATGAGCAGTACCATGGACATAACAGAGTATACTGTTTCGCCTATGATACTCCCCATGCGTTGCCATTCCTGAGGTCTTATTCCTCTGGATCTAGGTGTTATTCCTCTGCACCCTGTCAATTCACGCCATATCCCACCCTTCAAACCGAAACACAGCCATGCAAACACAACTGCTTTACGGTTGTAACACGAATGGGACAGAGCACCCAAGCAAACGACTTTTGTACAAAGTTTCCCACTGGAGATTAGAGGAGAAAGATTATAGTCAATCCCAACGCATTGTGAATACGCAATATATGTGATACCACATACCCATAATGTTTTGTATTCCAATATTGCGTTCTTATATGTTCTCTTTTTTTTCAACAGTCTGATAATAAAAACAACTAAAGTTTACAGCACGTGATTCATTACCACACGACAGCTCTGGGGAGGTGTAAACAGCGGGACACGGTAAGGTTACAGCAGTAAATATTTGTCCCGTGTGTATGTCCCTCGTCGACAATGGGACGTTAGAACTGCTACAAGTTTAGTGGCATAACAAACTGACGCGACGTGTCCGCGGGGACTATATTTTTTGGGTTGCCACTTTCGAGAAAAGATTTTTATCAGAACGTAGTGTGAAGGATTAACGGTGAATGACATTTTGTCGTTGTATTTACTTATTTGGGATATAGAACAGTTATTATAAGTAGTGTTTTTTTTTAATGGATGATAATAGCACTAACCTTGTTTGGAATTCCGGTATATGCTGGCGGGGCAGTAGTAAGAGATGATAGGTGAGGATGTTTAGAGAATGCTTTTAGCATTAAGTCTGCCATGTACACATATGTATATGTACTAATGAATAAATAAATAAACAATTAAATCTTGTTAGATCCCATTGCCAGCAATATACTCTATTAGGTTGACCTTCACGCGATTCTAGTTGGAAACCTGCTTAAAATATAAACCATAATTTGATATGATAATTTGACATAAAGAATATTGTAATTTGGAAAATGTTTGGACTTTATAATATAATGTAGACTATAAATACAGTTAAACAGGGGGAAAGGGATTGTTAGTAATGGGGACTGAGAATCCCATTGCTAGCAATATACCCAACCAGGTTGATCTCCTCGCGGTTCTCCCTGGAAACTATCGTGGTTAATTCCTGATGAATTCATCACGATGGGCTAATTGGCCTGTTTTCATTCTCATCTATCACCCTTCACTGGTACTCCGCCAGCGTATCTCGTTAGCGCAGGCAGCGTTACCATACCATTTTCACACATCAAAAAAAAAATACAGTTTAACATTAGCATACCTCTGCGGGGTGCTGCGTGTTATGTGCCTGTATATGTATGTAGCTTCTAATTGTACCATGTAGCAAGCGAATAAATATGATTTGAACCAGAGTGGTTAATTCTTGTGGAATTCGTCACGATGGGCTAATTGACCTGTTTTCATCCTCACATCCTATCACCCTAGTTGGAAAAACAATATTATATACAAAATTTTATTAAAATTGGTTGAGCAGTTCCTGAGATTTACGTGACAGAATGTTTTGACACGGAGTTTTTATATGTTAAATTAATTAGTCAATAACAAATTAAGTAATTTAAATTTGTTGTCAAGTGTTTAAATAATTTGCTATAAATGTTTAAAATAATTTGCCTTTTAAATTTATACACAATACTAGATTTTGTCCGCGACTTCGCTCGTATACGGTATTCGATTATTCGTGGATTATGTTATGAACATAAATCGAATATTCCACGTGTCTTCTAATTAGAAGAAGTTCTTTACAAATTTTCAACCCTCGTATTACCTTCTTACGGGTTGAATTTTCAAGATTCCTTGTTCTTTGTTCAGTTAGGCTACAGAAAGAACCATCTGCAAAAATACAAGATTCTAGATGAAGCGTTAATATACATATATATATACATATATATATATATATATATATATATATATATATATATATATATATATATATATATATATATATATATATATATATATATATATATATATATATATATATGTATGTATATATATATATGTATATATATATATATATATATATATATATATACATAGATATAGGTAGATACTCTTTATTGTTTCCTCCAAAAGATTACAATAGTAAACTTATTATAAATATAAATAATTATAAGAAATAATCACAATGAGAAAACAATGGGCGACATTATCGTTAAGAGCGATCTCTTCCAGGCAACCTTTAGATGGAGAAGAGTAATTATAAACAATTTGGTGGGAGGCACGATATATATATATATATATATATATATATATATATATATATATATATATATATATATATACATACATACATATATATATATACATATATATATATACACACATATACATACATACATATACACATATACATACTTGTATATAAACGCCTACACAAATACAATAATAAGAAAACAATAATATTGATATAATACAAATTGTTATTACAAAATAAAATAGCTGGACATCTTGTGTATCACAGTTAACAAATAAATAGCAACTAGCTACTGAATTTATTACGTTTAATGACCTGCGAAATTTGTACTACCATAATCGACTAATGACAAATGTACATAACCGTTAGAATATTAATGAATATAAAATGTATATTTCCTGTTATCAGGAGGACTGGTTATTGTTACCACCCATTAATGTCCACTGCTGATTGATCGTTTGTCTGGTTCATAATTGGAGGCTCTAACAAAATATACATACATACATTTATAAACAAGTTAATTCATAATAAATAATAATTAATTAAATAATCTTAGCCACAATAAAATATCAGTGTTTTGCTGTTTTGATGGCAAATCAATAAACTGAATTGTGACCATTTTGTGTTACTGTGGCACACGCATGAAATTAAAAATTATGTTACTTCGTTAATGTATTTTTCTTGTTTTTTTTTTTTTTGTAAAAATATTCTTTTTTTTTTACATATGTGTCTATATTTGTTGTTATTTGTGTGCTAGAAGCAATCCAAAATGCCTTGTGGTCCCGGCGTAGAACGGGCCACCCGTGCCTTTTCCGTGGGCGTCGTATCGTGCGACTAAGTTAACGACTAACTTAATAGATGAGGGATAGGCAGTAACGTCTTTCTTAAAATATTACCAAAGCCTAACTGCGGTTGCCGATCCGCCTGCCAAGCGTGGCAACTACTGACAAACCCCTCAAGGAGGACGCCTATGTTCAGCATTGGGCAGACGGGTATTATGATATTATTGTATGTATATATGTATATA